CTGCTTGGCTACGAGGCAGTAACTCGAGTATTTCGGCAACAAAATTTTAAGAAAAGCTATGATATATATTTTTTTAAACCGTTTTTTGAATTTCAGTTGAAGTGGTCTTTTCTTTTTTAACTCCCGATAGATCTGGTTTGATCTAGGCTTTTCAAAATTTTTTTCCCGAAAATATTATTTCACAAAAATGCGAAAGGCGAAAATATTTTCGCAAAAACCATGAGTTTTATAGCTGCAACAATGAATTTCTCAATATTTGAAGTTTTATTATGTCATGTAAATTATTTTTCTTCCTTTACTTAAAAAAAATGTTTTTAAAGAGAATTTGTTTTCTCTAGCTATCTTTTTAATTTTCTGTCTGTCCGTCCAGAATACATATGTACAACCGTATTTTTTGCTCGAATTTTCGCTTTATATTATTATTCGCGAAATTTTCGCATTATTTATCGCGAAATTTTCGCATTATTTTTTCGCGAAATTTTCGCATTTTTTATTTTGCGAAAATTCCGCATTTTTTCGTGACACAACTTAAAGCGAAATTGTCGCAAAGCGATTTTTCCTTTTCGCTGGAAACCCTAGTTTGATCTGAAATACATCTATATGTAAAATAACAGAGTTGGAAAAGTCAATTTTATGTAAATATGAAAAGTTAAATATTTCGACACTCAAATATCAGATTCCAGTTACTTTAGAAACTCTCTGCAACTCATTCTCGAAAAGTTTAATCAAGGTTTTTTAAAAATAGAAAAACATTTCCAAGATTCAGATTCAAGAAAAACAAGATACAAGATTTAGATGAGAAAAAAAAAGCTATAAATAGATTAAAGATACAGCTAAACTCTAATAAAGCCATACATTGAAAGAATATATCAAATGTCGTCTTGACACTTTTTTAATGGGTTTTATACTATTCTACGTAAATCTCAGTATTTGCGAAATTAAATAAAAATCCATGAATATGCGGGAACAGTTTTAAAGAGCTCTGTATAATCACTTAATTAAAAAAACTAAATATCTGCAACATTCCATTATGAGAAAGTGAAGAATACGACATTTGATGAATTCTTTCGATGTATGGCTTATTTAGGGTTTAACTGTATAATAGACGAATAAAATTCAATTTACTATTTGATGAGTTAGCTAGATAAAAAAGATAAAAGAAAGAAACAGAAATTAAAGATTATGAAAAAGCGTTATCAAAAATTATTAACAATATAGGGTTTAAGAGATATAGATGATGATAAATGATAAATGATAAATGAAGATTTAAAATAAATCAAAGAACTATCTGAATGAAGAAAATTAAAGAAATCGATTACAAAAAAGGATTAGAAACTAACAAACAAAATTTACAGACAAATATTTCAACTAACAGGAAAAAAGAAAAGATATAAATAAAAGTAGCGGAATAAAAAAATGGATTTTTTAAAAGCTTTACAAAATGAAGAAAAAATAAATCTGTTGCTGATTTCCTCTGTACAATTATTGTAATATTTAAAGTATAACTCCAGATTACCCTTGCTGGTAATCTGGAGCAGCTAGTAGATCCAGCTAAACCTATGATTACGATTACTTTATGCAATTATCCAATCTTGCTTGTAATCCTGAGTAGCTAGAAGATTCAGCCAGACCTATGATTACGATTACTTTATGCAATGATCCAATCTTGATTGTAATCCTGAGCAGCTAGAAGATTCAGCCAGACATATGATTACAGATTACTTTATGCAAGGAACCAATCTTGATTGTAATCCTGAGCAGCTAGGAGATTCAGCCAGACCTATGATTACGATTACTTTATGCAATGACCCAATCTTGATTGTAATCCTGAGCAGCTATGACTCCAGGAGCAGAAGATGATCCTGACTAACAGCTCTTCACAGACCTGTTGTAAGTCCATGGCGAAGTTTGCAGCTGAGAATGCAGTAGAAAATCTCAGATTACAGAAGCAGCTAAAGAAGCAGAGACTCCGGGAGCAGCTAAGGTAGAACGGGAAGCGGCTGAGAATGCAGAGGAAGCAAACCCGGACTGAAGGAGCAGCTAAAGTAGCAGTTAGGATTACAGTAGAAGCAGAAAACGAACCATCAGTAAATGTGGAAGCTGTTGTTGAGAGATGGCTAGGCGAGATACTTAAGTCTAAGAAGCTGTTCAGATAGATCCTGAACTGGAGCAGCTGAACGAGATATGCTCATAACCATCATAGCCAGGTAGAGAACCTGTATACTCTCCCTAGCTTAACAACGGTTTTCCAGAATCTAATAAAAGCAGATTTGACCAGGATTAACTTTGTTCAGATTTACCTTATCATTAAAAGTGTAAACTTTGACAAACTCTATTCATTAGTAAACCTGAAAGATATCCAGAGAGATTAAAAAGGGATTTATAAGGAGTACTGGGATCCAGGATGAAACACTACATATTCCCTACCCATGGGAGTAAATTGTGGATCCAGAAATCCCTAGGATGAATACCTGGATTGGAGAAATTAGTTCTTGTAAGATGTCAAGACAAACTAATTATGAAGATATTATGAAACACTATAAAAACGTTATTTTATGAAGAAAAAAACATGTACTAACCAATTAGGTTAAACGAATGTGACACAATATTAATGCCAACCAGATAAGTTTTGCCCTTGTCATTAAACAGTTTTAACTGATTTTAAATGAAAACGGATGGTTTAAAATTGGCATAATTATTCCCTTTAAAGTATACAGTGAGAACCAGAAAACAATGGTCGTAATCCTTTTTCTTTCTATTTTGAAATGTGGCTTTGAAATTTTTAGTTTGTAACATTTATTTTTTAAGTGTCCTAATCATTGATGCTTATGGTTATATCAGTTTCAACAATTTGAAATTAGAAATTCTGAAAAAGAAGAAGAAAGATGACTATATTCCGCAATTGTCTGGTTTGACTGTATGCAATGTGGGAAAATTAGTTTAAAATAAAATACAAATTACGAATGAGAGTTTTTCTTTTTACTTATTTTACCCTGTATTACCCTATATAGGGTAAAACAGGGTGTAACTGCATTAATGTACACATTATAATAACTATTAGATTGATCGGTGGGTGCCCTGTACCGGCCTAAATTTGCATTTTATATTATATCGTAAATTACATGACAGACATTCCGCACAATACTGCTGGGTACAGATAAAGATGGGTATTGTTTATTGTTCGTTACGATCCATTTTTTTCAGTTCAAGAAAACTTGAATTTCGTTTGTTTTTATAATTAAATCTTTTATTTTCCATCTATTTCGTTCGTTTTCTAACCCTACGATCTTTAATTTAAACCATTCAGTGATATCGTTCATTTCGTAAAATCGTTTATTCAACAAAATCCTTCGTTTGATAAAAAACTATCGTTTTTAACAAGTTCGTTTGAAAAAATCTTTCGTTCAGTTAAAATTTTTTTTTTTTTTATTTCTTAGAACGATCCAGTTTGTTCGTTCAACAATCATCCTTCCATCGTTCAAAAACTTTTCATTTGTTTTTAAAAATTTCCTTCGTATACAAAAACGATGCCCATGTCTAGTTACAGATGGAGGAAGTAATAAATTGTAAAATATGAAAATATAAAATTTATTGAATTGAGAAGAGAGGTGAATTTAATCAGAGGGTCTTTCAAATATTTGGAATCTACAAGATCATAGACGGAAATTTTAATTTAAACCTCCCCCCCCTTTGCTCCTGCCAAAGGGAGAGTTCACGAATAAAAGAAATGAAACAAGAAAATTTCATAATTCCATTTCAGTTACCCTATGTTTTGTTTTGTTCAGAAAGATAGTTTCGAAAAATATATTTTTAATAATATTTCTTTAAATTATCATAAAATCACATTACTCATATCTTGTAATACGATCAGATAAAAACACATTTGATAAATATAATTATTTATGAGAGATGGGCCGAGAAAAATAGATGATAAGATAAATAGAGTAAATAAAATATCAAAATTGTCTTAAAAAAAAACATAAAAGCTTCAAAATACAGTTTTTGTAATTCGTAATTTTTAACAACGTGCTCGCAGAGTTGCATCCAAATATAATTCAGTTTTTACTTTTTGTTTTCAATTCATTGAACAAAATATATTTGGTTTATTTTGATCAACATGTAGAATAAGAAAAATTATATCTTAATAACAAACCATGCTTATTTTAAAGAATGATGAATACTGATGATTAGACAGGTTCATAAATTATTTATTTTCATATGCATTTTCTTATGCTTTGTAATTTAAAAAGTTATGAAATAAATAAAAAAAGATACATATGGACCATTAATTGAGCGCAATTAGGGGGGGGGGGGTTGCCCCTGGATCCTCCCCAATGTAATGAAAAAAGTCAGATTTTAGATTAAGAGGTGTTTCAATATTGTGGTATTCTCTCCACAAATGGTAAAACAACCTCCATGGTCTCTGTTGAGTATATTTAACTAAAATCTAGATGTTTCTAGAAAAGTTGACTGTAGAATTCCTGCAAGGTCTCTGTTCATATAAATTTTACTAATGACTTTGCTTTTCAACCAAATCCAGTCCAAAACTCTTCATTGCCAAATTCGTTCCTTCTATCCAGTTATCTATCTATCTATCTATCTATCTATCTATCAATCTATCTATCTATCTATATATCTATCTGTCTGTCTATTTATTCTTTTATCTATCTATCTCTAACTATCTCTATCTATTTATATATCTCTAACTATTTATCTATCTTTATCTTTCTATTTATCTCTATCTTTCTATCTATCTCTACATATCTCTATCTCTATATCTATATCTATCTCTATCTGTCTATATATTGATCTATCTACCAAAAATTGTAATTGTATTATTGTAAATGTACGTAATTGTACAATTGTACTTTGTACAATTTGGACTTATCCTCATAAGAAAAATGTCTGAAGGGTTCCAATCTGTTTTTAAAGTTTACTTCGAGAAATTTTATTGCTAAAAGTTGACATGGTAAGAAAAAACTTTTTTTTATAAATTAACAACATTAATTTTGGAACAAAATGTAAAAAATTATTTAGAAAAAAATTAAGGTTTAATACTTCAGTGTCCCAAAACATCAAGGTTAAAATCACAAAGATCTTTTATTTTAAAACCTATGTTCACCCAGAAAAAAACGTTGCTTTTTTATTTGTTTTTTATTGGACTGCACATTTTAATATTAAAGTAAAAGAACACTTACTTAACTGAAAAAAAGACTCAAATGAAATTTTTACAAATATTCCAAAATCTCATAATTCTAGTCGACATGGCCAATAAGTCCATTTAAATGGATTATTTTCCCCTGACTTTTACAATTTCTATACTCAGGGTCGTCTTCCTTTACATCTTGTTCTAAACTCGACTGCGTAGAGTCAATATCACGGTAGGTTTGGTAATTATATTGACATGGTAGATTATAGAATAGATGAGGATACTCCCAACCCATCATTGTGAACAGATCCTTCAAACATGTAACATCAAACAGATTTTATTCATAGCTGATTAATCAAGTATCAGCTGATTTATCAAGCATCAGCAGATTAGGCATGTATCAGCTGATTAATCAAGCATCAGCTGATTTATCAAGTATCAGCTGATTTATCAAGTATCAGCTGATTTATCAAGTATCAGCTGATTTATCAAGCATCAGCTAATTAGGCATGTATCAGCTGATTTATAAAGCTCAGTGTTTTATAAACCTCAGCTGATTATCAAATAATAGTTGATTAGGTAAGTTTCAGCTGAATAATCAAGTATCATCTGATTTATCAAGAATCAGCTGATTTTTCAAGTATCATTTGAAACTCATGCATTAGCTAATTTATCAAGAATCAGCTGGTTTATCAAGTATCAGATAAAACTCATGCATCAGCTGATTTATCAATTATCAGCTAATTTATCAAGAATCAGCTGATTTATCAATTGTATCAGAAAATTTATCAAGTATCAGCTGATTTATCAAGCATCAGCTGATTTATCAAGTATCAATTGATTGGTCAAGTTTCAGCTGATTTTTTAAAATTAAGTATCAGCTGATTTATCAAGAATCAGCTTATCAAATACCTGATCTCCTAATCCTCCTGGAACATATTTGGCGGTAACCATTTTGTAAAACTCTGGATTAATCAGCTGATTAAACAGCTGACTTTCTCGGATATTCTCCAGGTTGTACAGTGCGACCCCACTGTTGAAGCCCTGAACAGTAAACAAACAATAAACAATAAATGGACGGCAAGCTGATTAAAACGGATTTTAATGATTGAAAGTGACCAGTTTCTTGTACCTGCCATATCCCTGGTTGACCGACAAGAGTTCCTGGATTTTCCTGGATGAATAATTCTGTTCGTATTCTGTAATACCTTGTCAGTTCCGGACCTACTCCAATCACTTCACTGAAAAATACAGGGTGTCTAAACATAGTTTTTTTGTACTAAAAGTACTACAAGTAGGAATAAACCAATAAATGAGGGGGGGGGAGTTCTTTGTTGAAATACTTTGCTCTAAAATGTAGTTTTAACCTTCAAAAAAAGGACTAAAAAATTTGAAAATGTGCTCTTTCTCTTACAAAGAATTTCAAAAAAATTAGAAATAATTTTATATGTCTATAAAAAAATAGGATAAATTGCACATTTTCAACGATAAAATTGCAGATATATACGTAATATATATTACGAAAAATAATGTTTGAACTTTTAAAAAAAAATCTTAGTATATTACCTCCTGGAAACTTTTTATAAACAATAAAACAAAGTTTAGTCGGTGAAAAAGCTAATTAAAGTTTTCGAAAAATGCCCCCCCCATACTGGAAGTACTTTTATGTAAAAAAAATTATGTTTAATAGGCCAAAGCTTAAACACACTGCATTGACACCCTAATACAAAGTAAATAATTGCGGTTTTAAACTAAATAACTTCTTTATATGTAAATTCATTGTTCCTTTATTATTACAGCGCTTTTGGGCGTTTTGATCTATAAAATAAAACAAGACATTCGTATATATATGTTACGTATAGCAGGTCAAACGGCTGAACCGATTGGGATAAAATTTGTTGTGGACACTCATGGGTGGCGGGGGGGTGTCATAGGCTAAACAAAATTTTCCACGGGCAACGCCAGGCCCTTTAGCCAGTGAATTATAATTAAGTATTAAAATAAATTTACCCTTTCTTCATGTTTTTGTGTTCATTCCACAATTCCAAAAGATCAATTCTGAAAAAACATGTACTTTATAGTCAAAGAAAGGAATAAACAAATTTAATTTCTGAAATGGTTGCAATCTCATATTGTAGAGCTTTCATAAATGTCTAATTATGAATTTTGCTACAGTGAAACCCTTAATAACGAATACATCGGAAGAATTTATCAAATGTCGTCTTGACAATTTTTCAATGAGTGTTATACTATATTACGTAATTTTCAGTATTTGCTAAAATGAATAAATAGCCATGAATATGCAGAACAGTTTTAAAGAGTTTCATATAGTCATTTAATTAAAAAACTAAATATCTGCAACATTCCATTATCAGAAAGTGAAGAATACGACATTTGATGAATTCTTTCGATGTATTCGTTATTAAGGGTTTCACTGTAGATTTATTTGTCAACCTTTGAATATCGATGGTTCATTCTACAGTAAAACCCTCAATATAAAATACATCGAAAGAATTTATGAAATGTCGTCTTGAAACTTTTTCAATGGGTTTTATACTGTTCTACGTAAATCTTAATATTTGCAAAAATAGGTAAATAGACATGAATATGCGGGAACAATTTTAAATAGCTCCATATAATCATTTAATTAAAAAACTAAATATCTGAAACATTCATTATCAGAAAGTGAAGAATACGACATTTGATAATTTCTTTCGATGTATTTAAAATTTAGGGTTTAACTGTATGAATCATTTATTGAATATATTAAACAGTCTGTTGATTTAAAGATAATGTATAAACCTACTTGAATTCTAGATCTACATCAAGCACCATCAAAATCTTGATTTCATCAGGAAACTCAAGATGATACATAGGTCCAATATAGAATAGATCCTAGATAATACAGTATACAGGGATATAGAATAGATCCTAGATAATACTGTATACAGGGATAGAATAGATCCTAGATAATACTGTATACAGGGATATAGAATAGATCCTAGATAATACTGTATACAGGGATATAATATAGATCCTAGATAATACTGTATACAGGGATATAGAATAGATCCTAGATAATACTGTATACAGGGATATAGAATAGATCCTAGATAATACTGTATACTGGGATATAGAATAGATCCTAGATAATACTGTATACAGGGATATAATATAGATCCTTGATAATACTGTATAAAGGGATATAATATAGATCCTAGATAATACTGTATACAGGGATATAATATAGATCTTAGATAATACTGTGTACATGGATATATAATAGATCCTAGATAATACTGTATACAGGGATATTTAATAGATCCTTGTATTGTAATGAAAAATAAATTAAATAAAAAAATATTTCTAAAGTGCGCCCTTTAAAGGAAGTGTTCGCGAAAAATGAAAGTGGGTATAGGATTACGTCGAAAAATATTTGATGGTGATTGCTACTAATCTACTTCTATCGTTGCGTCTATAGGGAGAAAATTGTTGAAAACTACTCGATCATACCAAAGAACATGGAGAGCAGAGACACATAGCGGTCAACTAATCGTTGTTTAAATTGAATCATATATAAAACAAATAAAGAATATTTTGATATATCAACTATATATGAATGTGTCGCAATAATGTGTAAATAATTGAATTATATTTTTAGAATTAAATTGATTTTCTTACAATCCGAGTCAAAAATTGCAACTTTCTGAATTTGTATGGACGCTATGTTCTTCGGTATTATTAGTTGTTTTTAACAATTTTCTCCTTATAGACGCAACAGATGGAAGTAAGACCATCAAATAATTTTACGCTACAGTTTTGTCACGTTCTGTATTCCCTTGCCCCTGAGCTCTTCATGCAAAAGATGTGAAGCCCCTGAAGTCGAGGGGTGGAATGAGTCTGCAGTGCAGTCACGAAACCAGTTTTTGATCTGTAAACTATGTGTTAGAATTGTACTATATTCTCAATTTCTCGTCAGTTAGATTTGATATTTGATATAGAGATATTGTTGTGATTTGCTCACGGCACATTAAGGTATTAATTAGGCTATCTCCCAGCTGGAAAATTTCTCTCAATCGGAATTCCGATTTCAGACTTGAGGAATTCTGACGTAGGAATGAAATCGCTCCGATTTTCCATTCCGATCTCCGTACATGAAGCGGAGATCGATAGCGTAAACAGGGCGGTTGAACCGATCGGCTTTACATGAGAAATGAGCTTGTTATTTTTCAAACTAAACTGAGTTTTAAGCTATTGAAGATTATCCCTTTTCATATATTATGAGCTCTAAAATGATTTTATCATTGTATTAACGATCTTGTACATTTTTTTCATTTGCTTGTACAATATTATATTTCTTTTGGTTATAAATAAAATTAATTTGGTCAATCTATTGCAGATTGTACCCGTTTCTCATTAACCAGGGCACTGTTATTATCAAGGAGAGATTCTAAAAGGAGAAAAAGAAATCTGAGGCTTAGTGTTGTTTCTAATCACCCTAGAGTAGGGCTGGGTGTGTTCCTGGTGGAACGATTGTTCTTTCCCAAGAACGAACGGAACAATCGAGAACGATCCTATCGTTCCGAAAAAAAACAAATGCTTAGAACACGTTCTTAAAAATATTGAAAAGAATGGTAAAAGAACGGATCGGAACGGGAATTGCTTGAAAAGAACAGTTAAAATCGTTAACGCGTTCTTATTATCAAGAATCCACATTTTTGATCAGATTAAGGTTTCAAGGATACCGTTACAATCGGGCTTTGTCATCTCTGCATGGAGGGCCCCTCAAAATTACGCCCACAGTCCCTGTAAGTCTGTCTTGAACAAAAAGACACGCTGCCTTACACCAACCTGCTTATATTTTGTGTGATGGCGGAAAAACATTTTTGAACCATCTTCATACTGAAAATAAAAAATACAATTAAAGAAATGAAAATCATTGAATTTTGTGCAATTTATAACATTTTTCGTCCTAGCTATGCATAACGTAAATATTTACACAGCAGATTAAATTAATTGTTCAGGGTGTGGGTCCCAACATCCAGTTATGATAATATTCTTATAAAAACAAACAAACAAAATTAGAATATATACAAGATGATAAAAAGCGCTCAGTATTCTTATTTTAATTTAACAAGTTTCATCCTAGATAACAATTTTGCAAAAAATCCGCAGAAATTTCCAGGAACCTTTCACTGGAAAATCCGGTGAAAACGTCGACAGAAATTGGAGATATTCTCGAGAATTTCCAGAGAAAGGTCCTCTTTTGAGAAATTCCTGTGATGAACCCAGGACAGTGGCAGTGGTTTGGTTGCGGCTGGAGATGTTTCCTGGGAATTTATCAGAACCAAATCCAGAGAATTTCTTGTATCAAATTCAAGGGAATTTCTAGTAACCCCTTGCAAGGAAATTCTCGTAAACAATTCTGAGGAGTTTCTTGTTACCAATTCCAGTAAATTTCTCATTATCAATTCTGGAGAATAATTCCTAAGATTTTCTCAAGATGTCCTCAGGAATATCTTGATATTTTCTTAGCATATTTACTAATCAGGAGATTTTTTTAGATGAAAGCAGAGAAATAAACCAGTTTTGGCCTAAAAGGTATCCTAATTCCTTACAATCATCTATAAAGTCCCATCGATTCCTTTGTGGGCAACCCTGTACATCTGAATTGTCAAAAAAAAAATGAAAAAATTTCATAATTTTTCGAAACGAAATTAGGTTACAGAGAAGGGAACCTCAAAGACACCTTTAAATTGAAGATCATGTCCTAAGCATTTCTACGGAATTTCCGGAAAAAAAATCCAGAGAAATTCTCAGAAATTTATTGAAACAAAGTCTCTAACTCTGTTCCTCAAACAATTCTTAAAATTGGTGACCAAGTCCTGAACGTTTCTAAGGAATTTCCTAAGAAATTCTTCATAATTTCTTGGAAAAAATTCCGGAATTTCTCAAAACTAAATTACAAAAATCTGATCCCCTAAAAGACTCTGAAATTGTGGATCAATTTTGGAGAGCTTCCAGTGAATCAGTCACAAGAACCTGTCCTTGAGAAATTCCAAAAAAAATTTCCAAAGCAAGTCTCCAAAGTTGGTTAATATGAGGAAATTTAATATTTTTGTTACCTGTGATATGAGTGGAAATTTTTATGAAAATGTGTTTGAATAGGTAAGACATAGAGAACAAATTTTGATTCATTTTAAACTGATACAAAAAAAAAGCCTTTCAAAAGTCTAGATATTATAAGAGTTAATTTATTTCTCAACCTGTACCTAAACAACAATTAAGTTTAAAGTAACAGTTTTTCGTCCGTTTATAAAATAAAACCCAAGTGCTATCCAACAAGAGACATCGGCCTAATAGGTTTAATGTATACTCACTGTGTGATTATAATAATCACTAGCTGAAGGGTTCCCTCAACAAATTCCCGCCCTTCGGTCCAGCAGTTTGACCGGCTTTAGGAAACATAAAACGAATGTCTTGTTTTATTATATATATTGTAAATTTTTAAGAATAAAACGGTTCTTACCACTTCCTCATAATCCTCCCCTGTGATTCCAAAATATGTTCTCATGTCCTCTAAATACACCTTAATTTCTTTTAATGTACTGAATTGTTCTCTACAGTACAGTACAGTACAGTACAGTACAGTACAGTACAGTACAGTACAGTACAGTACAGTACAGTACAGTACAGTACAGTACAGTACAGTACAGTACAGTACAGCTAATTTAACATTTCGTAAAATTTTCTATTTGAATTGGCACATTTTCAATATTCTTTTTAAATTTTAATTGATTTTTTTTGCACGCCACAAACCCAAATTTTGCAATCCATTTATCTTTGCAACCCGTTATCATAAACCTATAATATTTCAAACTTAGCCTATTTGATCTACTTACATTTAAAGTTTTAAATATCAAAGGTGTATTGTATTGTATTGTATTGCATTGTATTGTATTGTATTGTATTGCATTGCATTGTATTGTATTGTATTGTATTGTATTGTATTGCATTGTATTGTATTGCATTGTATTGTTTTTGTATTCTATTGTATTGTATTGTATTGTATTGAAAAAAAAATAAATTAAGATAAATTCCTATTTCTTGTTTGTATTTTGTTGAAAAAACTTCTAGTTTCACGAATTCAACTTTCAAAGATCTAAACAAAAAGAAAAAAATATATTACTGATGTCCTATTTGCTAAGAATTATCAACATTAATGAGGAAAGAGATAGTTTAGCAATCGTTTAAGATGTTTTGCTATGTTAAGATTTCAGTTAAATAAATAAATGAGGAAGAATTGAGTCTCTGTCGGCACCACTGCAAAAGCAGCACGATCCAAGCATGTACTTGTTAATACATTCAGTCGTACTATCTAGTCTGAACTACCTAGTGTAAATTCGGCCCAGCACGTTTTATGTAACCTGGCAGGATTACATCGGCCCAAAAACTCTGATTTTTTAATTCCTATATCTTTGCAATCAAAAATTTAAAATTATGACTTCGTTTTGTTCAAATAATCTAAGTTTGAGTTTGTGACAAAGCCTCAATTCTTTAATAAACACTAGCAAAAAGGTTCTTAAAAATGGCTAAGACTAAACAAAACGATATTTTAAAAATTAGAAACAGTTTACCTCGGAAATTTTCTGTCTTTTGTTAGAATAAATAACGCGTTGATCACGTGATATGAGAGATGACGACCTATTTCTTCGTGGACAACTTTTTGAATCTGGGGCTGAGTATAAAAAGTACATTACAACTACAATTACAATAAAATACAAAATAACTAACTAACTAACACAATAGACAGAAGGGTAGGTTAAATTCATGCAACAACCCTGGTGTGACATTCTGACCTCGTAGCTTCTCAATAAGAGGAGCTATGATAAAAAACCTTTAAGATTTTTTATCTCTCGTTCAATTTACTTTAATTAGACGTAAAATATGATTGGATCGTGAAAAGTTTAAAATAAAGAGGTTCATTTATATTAATTTAACATCTGATCGGAATGTTTGTGTGGAAATTGTTAATCTTGAAAACTTGATATTGATATCCAATATGGGCATATTTAAATTTGAGGAATGCTTGATCCCTTTGTTTTAGTTAACTCTGCACCAGGGGATCCCGAGATTAAGTTAATCCGTAGAGCTGCATTAGATGGAGATCAATGCTGGATCCTGAGATTAACAACCAACAAAAAAATATAAATTCTGGTAAATCTTTGTAACAGTATAAAATTGAACTCCTATTATTTTTCACTTTTAAATCAACTCCGCGCCAGTACATGGTCACCCACAAAGGCAAGAATTAAATGGCCTGAGCTGAAAACTTTAGAAAGGTTGATATCGAGATGCTTGATCCTCTCTTTCTGCTAATCCAGACTAAGTCTTTAGATTAATTTCTATAACAGATAAGGGATGCACTCTTTAACTTTTGAAAAACCGGTTTTCAGCTTGAGCTGAGAATTTTAGAATTGGATTCCCTTAATCCCGATCGCTTAATTTGAATATTCAATGTGAACACTTTTATTCCCCGCTTAATCCACTCTTTTTCTTTCTTTAAAGATATCCCTCAGATTCTGACTAAGGAGAGTTCTCTCGTTAAATGGCGCGTAAAATTTCAAATTTCCTGGCTTCTGATTGGCTGTTCGGAATTCTGCATACGCCAATCTATTCGCTAAATTTATACACTTTTCAGGACGCAAACTAAAGATGATTTTGATCTTGAGATTAATAAAAAGTGTAAATCAAGCATTGGTTTCAATATCCACAATTCTAAAGTTTTCAGATATACATTTGGTCTTTTGTCTTTAAGTCTACTCAAATACTTCAAAACAAATTTACATGATAACAAAATTCTAAGAGTAATGGGTAATAAAAAAACGTCCCACATTTGCTGATTAAAATAAAAATTGAAAATGTTTGCAATTTTTGACAAATCAAACAAAAAAGTTCCATGGCAAAAATGTTTTAAAAATTTCTGTAAACCCTTACCTTGGACTTTTCATCAGTTATAAACATAATATGAAGTGGTGTACCCTCACTAACAAAAGTAAAAATTATAAAAATTATGTAAAAATAATGTAATCTAAATATTTGATAATGAATATTAAAAATAGAAACTCAACGACAAAAAAATTTAATTTAGAAAATCTTCTTGAAAAATAAAAAAGTAAATCTAAGAAACATTATTTTTTTTAAAAACACCTACCTGTGTTCTAGGAGGGATCTGGAGAACAAACGTAAATTCTTGAGAATTTTGGGAACAGTCCCATCATTTTCAGGTTTTATGTTGGATAGGATCACGCTCATGTGTAGATGAGAATCGTCTATTTACAATATAATTTATCAATCTTAAAGGGACTGAAATGACGAAAATTCGAGTGGCTCTCCATATATGTTGCTTTACATGTGCAATTAATGATGTCAGGTATTTTTGAAAGGCATTTTCCCAAGCAGCAACTTCCCAAATGAACAAATTCCCAAGCGGTAACATTTCATGGCTGTCTTAGCCGCAGCGCTCGGCCCCCTATCCCAAGGGGCGGACACTTATTGTGTGTGTGTGTCTGTACTTAAAGAGTGTGTGTTTATTGTTAATTGTTTACTTAAAAATAAGTTTAATATACATGTAGTAATTTATTTACATATTTAAGTCAGCACTATATACCAAATTTCTATTCAAAGAATATAATTTGATTAAAGTTTACAATAAAATACTCGTTATTCAAGCTCACTTAAAATTGACAACATTGTTCTGCAATTTGCTTGACTGTAGTCATGTTGTGTGTCTGTACCAAAAGAGTGTGCGCGTGTGTAATACCGAATTTGTCTGCAAAACAGTGCGACCGGCTTTCTCATGCCAGACCAGCGCCATTTCCCTTCCCTTTATTCCTATTCCCTGCCCTATCCCCATTATAGCCGTAGGGCTCGGTCCCCTGTTGCACCCTGCCAAACTTACAAGGCCTAACCTAACTCTAAATGTACATTTGGGAAGTTGCCCCATGGAAAATTGTCACGTACTTGGGAAGTCTCCCTTAGGAAAATGTAACTGGGAAAGTACCTATAAACACCCAATTCATAACTTTCATAGAAGTTTTTTTTTATGATCGTAAGTTGTTCATATTTTTGGTTTTGAAATTATAATCCTGTAAATCGAATATTAGCTGGCTCCACAAGCTCTTGGTAGAATACCTAAAAAATATTGAAACTTCAAACCAGATTTACAAGATTGGTAAAAGGTTAAATCAAGGAGGAACAAGATCAACAAGATTGGTATAAGGTTAAATCAATTGGGAAACCGTTCATAATTTCTTAATTTTCTACCTGTTCTCTGACATCTGTAGTTGCACTGGTTCCTCCCAAACATCTTTGTACTGCATGTACAACAAACCAAATCTAGAAATATGTACTGCATATACAACAAACCAAATTTAGAAATATGTACTGCATGTACAACAAACCAAATCTAGAAATATGTACTGCAAGTACAAGAAACAAAATCTATAAAATTAATACAGAGTAAATTAAATTATTTTACGATTTCTCACAAAAATGAAAAAAAACATTCGGTAGGGCAGGCGGTAATAAATCGAGAGAGGTCTAAACTAAATTACAATGTTTTTACAACAATATATTTACAGAAATAAGATGAAATAAGATTAAATAAGATGAAACAAGATGAAATAAGATGAAATAAGATGAAATAAGATGAAATAAGATGAAATAAGATGAAATAAGATGAAATAAGATGAAATAAGATGAAATAAGATGAATTAAGATGAAATAAGTTAAAATAAGACCATACCTTCAGAATTCTCAACATTTTCTAATTAGGAAAATAATTTAAGCAGTTATATTTAATTTACATCATTATCAATAAAAGAATTTAAATACTAGTTATAAACAATAATAAGTGTACAGTTTATACAACTATACATCAGAAACTACACTTGAAATTATAATTTGCTTAGTCATCTTCATACCTGCCCGAGTGGGGAAGAGGGGGTAGGGGTGCTCGTGTGAAAGTTGAATGGGGGGATTCCTTTAAACGATGATTTCACCTGATTTATTTATATCTTTATATCTTTATATCTTTATATCTTTATATCTTTATACCTTTATGTCTTTTATCTTTATACCCTTATCTTTATATTTTTATATCCTTATATTTTTATATCTTCCTACCTTTATATCTTTATATCTTTATCTTTATATCTTTATATCTTTGTATCTTTATATCCTTATACCTTTATATCTTTACATCTTTATATCTTTATATCTTTATATCTTTATTTTTGTATCTTTATATCCTTATACCTTTATATCTTTACATCTTTATATCTTTATACCTTTATATCTTTTTTACATAACATCAGTTCTCCCGCTGGGAGACTTCTACGCTCTCATCACTCTGTATTAATCAGGTCTGCATTCAGTTTCTTCTATTAGAATTTAATCATGTTTTTGTCTAAAGTATAAAGAGAAAAGCAGAAAATTTAGATTTAATCGCTGTCAACTTGGGATCGAAAGTCTCAGTTTGCTGTTAAATTTGCATGCTATATCCCCCCC